TTATTTGGCTTTTGAGTTATAGATCATCTACCGGACGATGCTTAGTAATTTGGATCGATTTTCAGATCATCGGATTATCCACCGAGAGATATATACCGATTTTTATCGATATGTAGGGATTCAGTCCATGTGTTGTCTCAATATTCTCATAACGTTTTGTTCATATAATAGATCTGTGAGATTATGGTGTCTATGCATAGATATTAGATAAAGCTTTCTAATGATATAAAGAAAGATCTATTTTGACATGTTTTCTGGAAGTTATGAAGTTAATAATATGATAAGTCAACAATCGACCAACTCATCGGGCATGGCTGGTTATAGGCAGGGCCACCGTCGTCGGTAGGTCCAAAAAACTTTACGCCACCAGATACAACTCCAAATGGCCCGGCTTCAAGTTTGCAGCCCACAGCATCGGTGGCTTCACCGATTGCCCATCCGGTTGACACAGTCTCTGCATCTCCGATTGCTCCATCAGTCAACATAGAATCTGCTCCTCAGATTACCCTGCCAGCGACCACCATTATCTCCCCTAGTCCGACGGTCATGTCTACAAGAGAGCAGTCTTGTCTCTTGTCGCCCCAACCCCTCCCTACAAGACAGCAATCTCCTCCACAGGAAATAGCCCAATCTAAGTTTCACTTCGATAATGAGGACCAGATTATTTTGGAGGCACAAAGAGTGTTGCGTTCTAGAGCTACGAGAACCTCTCGGGATCTTTCTGACTTCACTTTGGTCGGAAAGGCTCGAAAGGGGAAAGGTAAAATGCAGTGATTGCACAGCTCCCAGGATTATTTTGGATTTTGGATTTTGGTATTTTGTCAGCCAACGATGCGAGTTTTTTGTTGGAATACACGCGGCCTAAATGGCGCGCAAAAACAGCGAGCAGTAAAGGATTTGATCAGTTCGTCGAGTTCATTGCTTGGAGGCCTAATTGAGACAAGAGTACGCGAGGAATCTCATGCTTTGCAGATTCTTGAATCCCTGGCTCCTAATTGGAATATACACCACAATTACAGCAATTCAGAACTTGGCAGGATCTGGGTTATATGGGATCGCTCTCTGGTGGTCACGACTTATTCCACCTCGGACCAGATGGTTACTTGCGGGGTCTTCAATCCCTCGACCAATACCTACTTCACAGTCTCTTTTGTTTATGCCCGTAACACAGCAGCGGAGCGTCGAACTTTGTGGTCTGAATTAGGTGTTCTGTCAACACATCCTCTACTCTCGGCTAGGCCATGGCTTGTCCTGGGTGATTTTAATCAGGTTCTTCGTCCGTCTGAGCATGTCTCACCAACCTTCCCTTTTGTGCCGCATACGGGAATGTCAGAATTCCAAGATTGCCTTCTCTCTACTGGTCTCTTTGACCTAACAGCCTCCGGTCTTTTCCATACATGGACCAACTTCTGCGTGCAGAATCCGATCTCTCGAAAACTGGATAGAGCCCTTGTTAATGACTATTGGATATTGGAACACCCTGATTCACATGCGATCTTCGAATCTCCAGCTCCATCAGACCATTCCCCATGCATCGTCCATATCGACCAACCACAGAATCGAAGGAAACGCAGGAATTTCAAGTTCTTTCTTCACTTGCTAAAGCATCAAGATTTCAACCGAAGGGTTCTTGAAGCTTGGAGCAACTCACCGAACCAGGGTTCACAGGATCTAGTGCATGTTCTACAGAAACAAATCGTAATCTAATGATTAACCTTATATTATATGGAGCTTCCACAATAACATATACCCTCAAACATTATAGCACATTTGACATTTTTGAAATCCACTATCTATTGAGTAAATTACTCGAGATATTCCGTACGATGTTGAGGCCAAAGAAACGAAGATTTGCGACCCTGATACGTCATCCACTTTAACACACACACATATACATATATATTATATGATATTTTGGTCTGACCATTTATATTACACATGATATTTTCACACGATGAGCAATATTGTGGAGACGGTACCGTAAAACATAAAATCACCAAAATTAAATAAATAAATAAACAAATAAATAGAATTATTTTATTACTACATCTTCATGATACATTATAAAAAATAACTCATATATTTATAAAAAAATGAATTAAGATAAACAAATTAGCACATTAATGTTATCTTATTGGCATTGCGTACTCACTTAATACAACACCAGAAACATACTAATAAAGGGTTAATCCCACAAAAAATCCCAAACTTGTTAAAATATTTCATATAAAATTCTGAATTTACAATCTCACATAAAAAACCCTAAATTTGGTCAAAACTTCAACAAAAATTATAAACTTATAATTTTCTTCTATATAAAACTTTTGACTTGTTTGACCAAAAATTTTATAGATATGGCACGAATGATTGCTGACATGGTGCTGACTCAGTTGATACGTCAGCGCCACATCATTATTTTAAAATTAAATATTTAATAAAAATGTATATATATATACATATATATATATATGTAAATTTATATATTTGATTAAAATATTTGTATATTTAAAATTTAAAATTACAAACTTAATAAATATACAAATATATATATGTATAGATATTTGATAAAATATATATATATATATATGTATGTATATATGTATATATTTGTATATTTAAAATTTTAAATTACAAACTTAATATATATACAAATATATATGTATATATATTTGACCAAAAATTAGAAATTTATGTTTTAATTTTTTAAATAATGATGTGGCGCTGACTGTCAACTCAGTCAGCGCCATGTCAGCAATCCGTCGTATCACATCAGCAAATTTTTTGGTCAAACAAATCAAAGATTTTATATGAAAGAAAATTATAAATCTGTAATTTTTGTGGTAGTGTTTACCAAATTTAGGGTTTTTTTTATGGAAGACTGTAAATTCAAAATTTTATGTGGAACATTTTAACAAGTTTGAGATTTTTTTGTGGGATTAACCCTATTAATAAACGATGGAGGTAACTTTCATAGATACACACAAACTAATGCGCGTATATATATATATATAGAGAAAAACATTAAGGAAAAAAATCAAGTTTTTTAGATAATACATACTTTAAATTAAAAGAAAAAATTAAATTAAACTTTAAATCAATTGTATATACATATTAGAATAGTTCAACTAAATTTTAATTATAATTATTAATTTTTTAAAATAATTGTATTATTATCATTATATTGTTGATAAATAAGAGTTAGGTAAGAAAGCATAGAGAGGGAAAGAAAATAATCGTACAGTTCTAATATTCTCGAGACTTGCTAAATCATTAGACTTCATTACATGTCTATATTATTAGACTTTCTAGCTGGCAGGTTCAAGAACCCTACAACATTGACAAATGGACGTTGCCATAACACAGTGAAATTCCATTGACGTTTATAACTTCCGGTTAGATATGCATCGATGATTTATATATCATAAACATGCATAATATAAATATATACATATATATATATATATATCGAGGAATATTAGTTTTTGTCTACGTTTTATGACAATGACATCGACCACTTTTCCCCTCTAGTTATGTGGTTCCACTCAATGTAATAATATTTGTTTTTTTTTTATATATATGGCATTAGTTATCTTGTAATATATATATTATACGAAGTTGGCATTTATAAGCGCAAATTGAAAGTATGTAATTTGGTACATTTAAACATAAATTCAGTAGATCACCTTTTTGACTTTTAATTATTTTTTCGTTGTCTTTAGATGTGCATGTTTTAAAATTTTAAAAAATCAGTGAACAGTTCTTCGCAATTCATTATTTGTGTGGAAAATGGTTCTCCACTCTTATTTTAATTTATTATTTGATGTCTATAAGGTTTTTTCAACAATTTCTCGCACCAAAATTAAAACTTTTGTTATGGTACGTTGTCAAAATTATTATTTTACTCGTATTTAATCCCAAAAATAAAATAAAAGAAGAAGAAAATGTATGGAATTGCGACGGTCGACGTCTCTCCACGAGTTTATTATTATTTTTATTTATACTTTAGTGATAATTATATTAATAAAAAAACGAATCAGTGAGTGGAGTTTGCACGAGATAGAGACACAAAAAAATTCCAGAATACGAAATAGTGATAATTATATATATATATATATATTTTAATGTAGGTATATTTGAACCGCTATAATATGTTAGGCTAATATAACACAGAATCAGGGTGTCGCATTGTTTCAGCTTTGCAGTGTCATATCCAGCGACTTTACGTAACTTGTTCGATGGATCGCACCCTCGATATCGACCGAAATTTTTCATTTTTTTTCTATACTTTGGCCGATATATAAAATGATTTAATGAATAATTATGCATGTTTACTTGTTTGACGCGCCATTTTATATGAATATATGGGTTTTTTTTCTTCTTCATAATTTTATAAGCACATGCACATGATTTAAAATGTTTACGAATGATCATTTTTTGTCAAATGGTATGACCAGAGGGGCACTCTACTTTTACAACGAACTTTATGTTCTCCATACTAATCGGGCGACATAAACACGACACGTGTTCATAAAACAATAATATATGTTGTAATATTCAGCAATAAATTATCAATTATATATTTTTTAAAAATAATAAATTATAAAATTATGATTCTTAATCTTTCTAAAAATTTATATGTTATGATAATTTTCATCGAATTTAAAATATAAATAAACTTATATTATAACTCATATATAATTTTTTACAATTTGTCAAAAAATAATATAATTAATAATGGAAATTTTGATATATAATTTAATTCAAATTCTTATATATATTTAAAAATGATATTTTTGAACTTATTAAATACCGTTTTATAGAAATATCTATCATCAAAACAAAATATGTCTAAGAGTTTATCCCTGTTTGAGAAATTCTTTACAGCGAGTTATTTACTTTACATAAATTTCCTATCATAACAGTCCCCACTTCTCTCCTTTTAGTCATTTATATATACACTACATTGCTTGTGACCCTTCAACTCTTAACATACCAAACCATCTCTCTCTCTCTCTCTCTCTCTCTCTCTCTCTCTCGCAAGATGATGCCTCCTGGTGGTGAACATGAAGCTAGCATTGCTATGACGGCCGGTCCGGTTAACGTCATGCTTTCAAACCGGTGCGAGGCCATGCCGGTTCCAGCCGACCGGTCTAGCTCCCCTAGTCATGTAATCCCTTGTCCCGACCATGAAAGCTCCGGTCCGCATCAGAATGAGCAATCAAGAAAATATTCTATTCTTTGCCGATCTCTGTGCCCTCTGATTCTCAACGTAAGTAATCCCTTTCACATAACCGGTTGTTATTCCCTGGTTTGTAGATGATTCGTATTTGTTTATGTTTAATTAAGTTTTCGTTATACTGCAGTTCGAGGACTTGACGTATAGCATCAATTTGCAAACCGGGAAAGCGAGCTACTGGTTCTGCTCACAAGAATCGAAACCGACCCGGTTAATCCTCAACGGTGTAACCGGTTTAGTCAAACCGGGCGAGCTACTCGCAATGCTAGGCCCGTCAGGAAGCGGCAAGACCACGCTCTTAACGGCGTTAGCTGGTCGTTTAAACGGCAAACTCTCCGGTTCCGTCACATATAACGGACACCCCTTTTCAAGCTCCGTCAAACGTAAAATCGGATTCGTCACCCAAGACGACGTCCTCTACCCTCACTTAACAGTAACGGAGACGTTAACTTTCACGGCTTTGCTCCGTTTACCGAAAGAACTAACCCGATTAGAGAAAACCGAACACGTGGAGTCGGTTATCTCGGATCTCGGGCTAAACCGGTGCATCAATAGTATAATTGGAGGCGGTTTGATTCGGGGGATTTCGGGTGGGGAGAGAAAACGGGTCAGTATCGGGCAAGAGATGCTCGTGAACCCGAGCTTGCTTCTCCTCGACGAGCCAACGTCGGGGCTAGACTCGACCGCGGCGGCGCGTGTGATAGCCACCGCGCGTGGATTGGCGCGTGGAGGGCGTACGGTGGTCGCGACCATTCACCAGCCATCGAGCCGGCTTTATAGGATGTTCGACAAGGTTCTTGTCTTGTCCGATGGATCGCCGATCTACAGTGGGGATTCGGGTCGGGTAATGGAGTATTTCGGGTTCATCGGGTTCCAACCCGGTTCGAGTTTCGTAAACCCAGCCGATTTCGTTCTTGATCTTGCTAACGGTAAGTACAATGTACTTTAAAATGTTTTAAATTTTTTGGGTTGGGCTCCATTAACGGCGGGTGTAAAGTGAACTCTTCTCCTCATGCATCATGAGATGTCTGAAAACGACACTTTATCCACACCGGCAGCTGTTTCTTCGCATATTCTTTACAAGTTTTTTTTTTTTGACATATTTTAGGCTATAAATTTTGGTTTGTTGCTTTCGTGATTTTTTAAAAAAAATAAAATCACGATATTTATGAATCCGGTGTGTTTTGACTATACCAAAATGATGACAGACATATACACGTAAGTCCATTCATACACACATGTTGTAGCCTCTCGAATTTGTATATAAAGTGTGATGTAATGAAAACATTTCACATGTAAATGCAGGCATAACTCCGGACACGAAACAATATGATCAAGCTGAACTGCATGGAAGATTGGACCGTCACGAAGAACAAAATTCAGTGAAACAAATGTTAATGTCTTCCTACAGAAAGAACTTATATCCATTGTTGAAAGAAGAAATATCCCGAACATTACCCCAACACCAAGCCGTCTCCGGTTCAAGAACAAAATCACCGACAAGTAAGCAAATTAACGAGTCATTCGCTCTACGTACAAACACATGTTGGTAATTTTCCTGTCTAAATCTTGTTTTTGATTACACGTGTGAAGGAACAAAGGAGATTAAGTGGTCGGCCAGTTGGTGGATGCAATTCTACGTTCTCCTGAACCGAGGCTTGAAGGAGAGAAGGCATGAATCCTTCTCAGGACTTAGAATATTACAGGTGATGTCGGTTTCGATTCTCTCCGGCCTCTTGTGGTGGCATTCCCGAGTTTCGCATTTACAAGATCAGGTATGGGATATATATATATATATATGAAAAATATCGATCTTGTTATGATATATATGTATCACATTCTTCATGTAATCTTTAAACAAATATATAACAGGTGGGTTTGCTCTTCTTCTTCTCGATATTCTGGGGATTCTTCCCGCTATTCAACGCCATTTTCACGTTCCCTCAAGAACGTCCGATGCTCCTAAAAGAACGATCCTCGGGAATGTACAAACTCTCGTCCTATTTCGTGGCAAGAACAGTCGGCGACTTACCCATGGAACTCATCCTTCCGACTGTTTTCATCACGGTCACATATTGGATGAGTGGGCTCAAGCCTTCACTGACTACATTCCTTCTGACCCTTCTCATCGTTCTCTACAATGTATTGGTGGCTCAGGGCGTGGGGCTAGCCATGGGAGCGATCTTGATGGACGTGAAACAGGCCACGACGCTGTCTTCAGTGACAATGCTCGTGTTCTTATTAGCAGGTGGATACTACATTCAACACATACCGGCTTTCATCGCTTGGTTGAAGTACATTTCGTTCAGCCATTACTGCTATAAGCTCCTTGTCGGGGTTCAGTACACAGGGAATGAGGTGTATGAATGTGGATTAGGGTTACATTGTAGGGTTATGGATTACGAAGGGATTAGGAATTTGATGACTGGGGATAATATGATGTGGGATGTGGTTGCTCTTGGGATTATGCTGGTGGGTTATAGGGTTCTTGCTTATTTAGCTCTAAGGAATTTGTGACAGTTCCATATTTGACTCTTTACCGCCGAAATTAAGCCTAATTAAGTGTATAATAAGCTATTTTCATCGAATTTGAAAAGGTTAATATTTGACTATTTCTCTTTTTTTTTTTATGTATATAATTCATGTAATGTAGCCCCACATCATTATCCATGTTGGTCTCATTTCCAATTTTCAGTTATATATGTGAATAGTCTTATGACATATATATGTATGGTTTTAATTTGTTGAAACGTTATCTGAATCTTTGATTTGATTAAATATTTTTATTGTCTAATTAAATGTATTATATACTGATACTTTTAGAAGAAGAAGAAAGTTAATACTCGGCCGTCTTGTATTTTAAAAAAATAAGTCCACTAACAAATAAAATCAAAGTGGAGAATAAGAACTCAACGAACTCGAATCCAAATACCTATTGAAATGAAATGTCACGAGAGCGAATTTATTACGTTCAATGGATCTGCCAAGATATGCATGGGAGTATACACCCCATGTAATATATATATATATATATATATATATATAGCGGACACAATTCAATGACAATGGGTCCTCCGCCCCACCCCTTTAATTAAAAAACATTAAGTTATTTATAAATTTTATTAATTTTAAATAAATTTATTAAATGCCCCATAATAATTTAAGTTTGTTCCTATAAACTATATTAAATTCCCAATTATAATATTTTCTAGATCCGTTAGTGTGTGTGTGTGTATATATATATATTATATTGTATTGGCATCTGATGCAGAATATATGGACCATTTTCGTTTGCTGTTATTCTAATTCTTCGTCGTGATTGTTTAAAGTAGCAAGGGAAACAAAAAGAAAATATAGCACAGCATAATATTTTCAGAAATTTTGAGATGTTATTGTAAAAATAAAATAAAATATCTGCGAAGTAATATTATTTGTCATTGGGTTGGGCCGATTACTGGTGGGCCTAATATTGGGCTTGACTATATCAGTTTTGAGGACTCAAGACCCAACTACTTTCATCTATAACTGAAAGGCCCATATAAAACTTTTCAAGATACCACTAAAGTCTAATTTCAAGATTATTTGATTCACACTGAATGCAAAATCAAAACGAATTAAATATAATAATATATCTAAAATCAAATTATGAAATTTAAAATAACCAGAAATCAAATCGAAACAAAATGTCTTCAGCGAATGAATGTTTATAATTAGAAAATAATCTAAAATATAATATGAACCGGATGAAAATCATAATATATATATATACAGTTTTTATAAAATATAAAATAAAAAACATCAGAAGGTGAATATATAAAAGAAGCCAAAATATCTTTGGCTAATATGAAAACACTGATACGTCAACTTTTTTTTTTTTGTTTCTGCGTTTAAAAAACCAGGAAATCATTGTGAAATGGATGAATAATGAGAGTGACGTAATGGATGATTCTAATGTCACGTGTAAGAAAAGCTCGTCCATTAATTTCTTCCTTTTAAATAATCTCATTTTATAAAATTAATAATATATTTAAAAGGAAATAAAATACTTGAAAATGTATAATAATAGCTTAGACAGAGTCAATTTTGCCAGTTAATGTATGCACTTTTCTCTGTGTTTATAGAGTTCGGTATTTGTTATAAAATACAAATTATTATTCCGTCATGTCATGTGGATCCATATGTTATCTTTCATAAATGTATTAATAATATAATATAGACGTTGTAATCCCACGACAAAAAAATAATACTTTTCTAAGAAGATAATATAAATTTATTAAGGGTGTTGGTCCATACATAATTCACAGTCAAAGCAATAATGCATAATACAATACATAGGAGGAGGATGAACATTTTTAGCAGCCATGAATAATTATTTAGCAGCCACGAATAATGATGACATTATGAGACTAGTAGGTGAGTTAGCACTTAAAAACATTAACGTATAATCTCACATCCTTTTGATTACGCTCTTTCAAAACTAACCATATGGGATTAAGAGCTTAATTAATCATCAACTTATATTTATAAAACAAAAAAAAACTTATATTTGTAAAAAAAAATTAATCATCAACTTTAAAAATGTTATTCACCCACAAACACGTGCGTCATCTTGGAGGTAGAGCAGCGAAGCCGGCAAATCACGGTTTTGTCTTAATAAATGAAAGAGATGATAGAATTATGAATTCGAATATTACTAGATTAATTTCAATCTCCATATACATTTTACACAGTTTTTTATATAAGAGTTTACAAGAAAAATTTTCATATGTAAGTTTTTTTTTCCGTAATGAAATATCTTGAATTGAGGTCCAAACTAAATCTATTACAATATTTATAGAAAATAGAGAAAGAGTAAATAATCATTTGATTTTTTCGTTATTCAATATAAACTATTACAATATTTATAGATAGAAAATAAAATCACAAAATATCTTATTTAATCAATATAAATATCAAATCTAAATATTACGATAATATTCTACATCTCTTGGTATCTTCGAAGATATTCTCCATTATCTCTTGACAAATCGTGAGATCAGAAACAAGTCATGTGATTAGAATTACACACCATTTTCAACTTAAAATTCGAACTTGGAGCAGAACAAACGATTTGGGTATCCTTTCATCGGTTGAACTAACTAAATTGGATTCATGTGTAAGTTCATAATACTAAGCTACCATATTTGAGGTTTTGAATTATATACGATAGAACCGTACGTATTCATAGTTTTAGCATTTACAAATCAAACATCATGCAATATCTTGTTTAATATGTGTCGATTAAGTTAACCAATCTTTATATATGTATGAATTATTTTGTCATTTTGTGAGCTAACAAGTTATTACAAGTAGAATACATTGAGTTATGAGCAAAGCTAACAATAAATTAGAGAAGCTATTGTAGCCAATGATAGATATTGATGCATTTAAAACATGACTATGTAACTTTATCTCTTTACAGAAGTTAATGACCACAAAAGTCTTTATTAGATGCAAGAGAATTGGCCTCCCATGAAACCAGAATCGCCCAAGGAATATTATTGTTTTGTTTGATATGTAATAAATCCTCCAAGATTATAAGCCGTCGTTTTGATAAATTTTATTGTGGAATATTCCCTTCTTCGAAGAAGTTTCCATGGCGTAAGGTTGGAGTTACCCCTAACCGAGAGAGAGAGAGAGAGAGAGAGTCAAATGGTAATAATACATTATATATGATATGGGACCACTCGCTATCGCCATTCATAACTCGTTTTATTTAATTATTTTGTTCATTCATTACCAAACAAGGCACACTACTACTGTTAATGAATTTAAACACGAGTTCAGTACAGGCCTAATTATTAAATATATACAGTTGGTGATATAAAACAGGAAACAACACATAGTTATATCTAAATCTAATATAATTTAAAATTTAGTTTTTATATTTTTTAAAACAGTCGAATTCAAAACAAATATTAAAATAACAAAAATTTGAAACTAAATAATTTTTAATAAAAACTGAGCAGCCAAACTATATATCCTTTTTATGCATATATTTCCATATTCTATTTATCAAGTCAAAACAATTTATTTTCGTAGAATATTCTAAACCCTTTTCCATTTTCCTTTGCCTACCAAATGGGAAATCCGCGTACTTTTTTTAATGTCGAATAAAAAAAAATTACAAAGAAAAATTCCGTCAAATGAGCCGGAAATGATCCATTCAAAGTCGTCGTTCAAAGTTTGTCATTTTTAAAATTATTTTCTCTAATATATCAACAGACCCGCGGACACATTTGTCAAATTATTTTCCCCAGATTGCCATTCAAGAGTTTCTTGAAGTTCTTGTTTTTTTTTTTTCTGCAGATTATAAAGCTTGAATCTTTCTTGCTTTTCTTCCATTTCCGAGTTTCGTTTCCTCCCTCTGTCTCTTCAATTGTACTTGTCCACTGAGACAGATCCATAAGGATTTTCAGACAGAGAGAGGGAGATGGCGGGAGGGAGGAGGAGGAGGAGGCTGCATCTGAGCAAGCTCTATTCGTACACGTGCGGGAAATCGAACTTCAAAGAGGACCACTCGCAAATCGGAGGACCCGGTTTCTCCCGGGTCGTTTTCTGCAACGAGCCTGGCTCGCCGGAGGCGGAGCGGCGGAGCTACGCCGGAAATTATGTCCGTTCGACAAAGTACACCGTCGCTTCCTTCATCCCAAAGTCTCTGTTCGAACAGTTTCGCCGCGTCGCAAACTTCTTCTTCCTCGTCACCGGTCTCTTGGCCCTCACGCCATTGTCGCCGTACGGAGCCACCAGTGCTCTTCTTCCCCTGGTCCTCGTCATCGCCGCCACCATGGTCAAGGAAGGCATCGAAGATTGGCGCCGCAAACAGCAGGTTCTTCATCCAAATCTCCTTTAACAGTTCTTGTCGTGTTTTTTTTTTCAAGATCAAGTACTGAGAATTCGAGCTACAGTGTGAATCCTGATGATAAAGACAGTTTACATGTCTCCTGGTCTCATGATTTTGGATCAAATCGTGTTTCAGGACATAGAAATGAACAACAGGAAGGTGAAGGTTCACGACGGAAACGGAATATTCCGGCAGGAAGAATGGAGGAATCTCCGGGTCGGAGACATTGTAAAAGTCCAGAAAGACGAGTTTTTCCCGGCGGATCTTATGCTGCTTTCGTCAAGCTACGAAGATTCCATCTGCTATGTCGAAACGATGAATCTCGACGGCGAGACGAATCTGAAGGTGAAACAGGGACTTGAATGGACATCTTCGATGTTACACCAAGATTCTGATTTCAGAGATTTCAAAGCTGTCGTGAGATGCGAGGACCCTAACGCGAATCTTTACTCCTTTGTCGGAAGCTTCGAACACGAAGAACAGAAGTTGCCATTGTCGATTCAGCAGCTTCTTCTCAGAGATTCAAAGCTCAGAAACACAGAGTATGTGTACGGAGCCGTCATTTTCACCGGACACGACACAAAGGTGATTCAGAACTCGACTGATCCTCCATCGAAGCGAAGCACGATTGAGAGAAAGATGGACAAGATCATCTACTTGATGTTCGGAGTTGTGTTCCTTATCTCATTCATCGGTTCAATCATCTTTGGAGTCGAAACACGAGACGATAAAGAATCGAACGGGAAGATGAAGAGATGGTACCTAAGACCAGACGATTCCGACATCTTCTTCGATCCAGATCTTGCTCCGGTGGCAGCCATCTACCATTTCCTCACAGCTGTTATGCTCTACAGTTACTTCATCCCGATATCTCTATACGTTTCCATCGAGATCGTCAAGGTTCTTCAGAGCATTTTCATAAACCAAGACATTCATATGTACTACGAGGAAGGCGATAAGCCCGCGCACGCAAGAACATCGAATCTGAACGAAGAACTCGGACAAGTCCACACGATTCTTTCAGACAAAACCGGGACTTTGACGTGTAATTCCATGGAGTTTATCAAGTGTTCTATCGCCGGGACAGCTTATGGACGCGGTGTAACCGAGGTCGAGAGATCAATGGCTGAAAGAACAGGTCTTTCGCCTTCAGATCATGATGATGAAAATCGGGATCTGCCCAAGATTAAAGGGTTTAATTTCGAGGACGAGAGGGTTATGGATGGGAATTGGGTGAAGCAGCCTCATGCCGTGGTGTTGCAGAGGTTTTTCAGGTTATTAGCAGTTTGTCACACCGCTATTCCCGAGGTTGACGAAGAGAACGGGAAAGTCTCGTACGAGGCCGAGTCTCCGGATGAATCAGCTTTCGTTGTTGCTGCCCGAGAACTCGGGTTCGAGTTCTTTAACCGGACACAGACCAGCATTTCTGTCCGGGAATTGAATCTTGGAACAGGGCGAAAACACGAGAGGTTTGGTCCCGAAGCAACACGATTTTCCAGATGTCTGGACAAATAATCCGTCGTGTTCGATGACGAATGTTGGCTTGTTCTTTGCAGGGTTTACGGTCTACTAAACATTCTCGAGTTCAACAGCACGAGGAAGAGGATGTCGGTTATCGTGAGAGACGAAGACGGGAAACTCTTCTTGCTGTCCAAAGGAGCTGACAGGTATGTAATACCGTTACAATCCTTGCGAATCTTTGGTTTTGATTCTTGTTTCTTGGATTGGAATTCACGTTGGATTCGATGGTTCAGCGTAATGTTCAAAAGACTCGCGAAGAACGGGCGTCAGTTTGAAGCAAAAACCCGGGAACACGTGAACGGATACGCAGACGCAGGCCTGAGGACTCTGATACTTGCGTATCGGGAACTTGACGAGAATGAGTACATAGAATTCAGCAAGAAATTCAACAATGCCAAGAATTCTGTGAGCGCAGATCGCGAGGCCTTGATAGATGAAGCCACGGAGGAGATGGAACGAGATCTGATCCTCCTCGGCGCCACTGCAGTCGAGGACAAGCTTCAGAACGGGGTATGTATCTTCGAGAATCGACGAATTTGAAGTGTTTTGATCGGTTTAGTTGACGAATCTTGAAAGATTTTCGGGCGATTTGGTATGCGTTTTCAGGTTCCAGATTGCATCGACAAGCTTGCTCAGGCCGGAATAAAGATTTGGGTTCTAACTGGAGATAAAATGGAGACTGCTATCAATATCGGGTGAGTAGATTTTTCTCGATACGAAAACGCTTATCCGAATCTTTCGTGTTTCGCTGTGATTTCTCGGTTTCTGACATCATTGTACCATCAGATTTGCCTGTAGTTTACTCCGACAAGAGATGAAGCAGATCATAATCAATCTTGAGACTCCAGACATCATAGCCTTGGAGAAATCTGGAGAGAAGGATGAAATCGAGATGGTAAGAGTCGATATATTCTCGATTTTTTTCCATATACGGTTCCCATCTGAGATATGTATATAAATGTGGACCGACGGGTTACAGGCGTCGAGGGAAAGCGTCGTGAAGCAAATAAGAGAAGGAAAGGCTCAACTCGATGCATCATTTACAAGCTCGGAAGCATTTGCTCTGATCATCGACGGGAAATCACTTGCTTATGCCCTGGAAGACGATATCTCGAAAACTTTTCTCGATCTTGCCACGGGATGCGCCTCTGTCATATGCTGCAGATCATCGCCGAAACAGAAAGCATTGGTAAATGTTTCGAGATTCTGACATGAAAAAGATTTTGAGTATCAATAGTTCATTCTTACAGGAAGATGTTTCGGGGTTTCAGGTTACGAGATTGGTTAAAACTGGAACCGGGAAGACAACCTTAGCGATCGGAGATGGGGCGAACGACGTGGGAATGCTTCAAGAAGCGGATATCGGAATTGGAATAAGCGGGGTCGAAGGAATGCAGGCCGTGATGTCAAGTGACATAGCCATTGCTCAGTTCAGATACTTGGAACGTCTTTTGCTCGTTCACGGCCATTGGTGTTACAGAAGAATCTCATCAATGGTGAGTTTCAGACAACAAAACGGTTATGATTCTTCTGGAAAACATCCATTTTTGTTGAAAAAATCCATCATTTTTCTTACGCAGATCTGCTACTTCTTCTACAAGAACATCACCTTTGGTGTCACGTTGTTCTTATACGAAACCTACGCTTCGTTCTCTGCTCAACCAGCTTACAATGAATGGTTTCTTTCGCTATTCAACGTCTTCTTCTCTTCTCTTCCGGTCATCGCCCTCGGGGTTTTCGACCAGGATGTCTCGGCTCGCTTCTGTTTCAAGGTATTATTTACAGCCACTAACAATTCTTGTCTGAAGTCTGAACTCGAGATTTCGATCACTGGACTGACAGATTCATGCAACGTTTTTCGTGATCTGCAGTTCCCGCTGTTATATCAAGAAGGAGTCCAGAACGTTCTCTTCAGCTGGAGAAGGATCATCGGATGGATGCTAAACGGTGTGATCTCGGCCATAATGGTTTTCTTCCTATGCAAGGAATCTCTGAAACACCAGCTCTTCAACTCCGACGGAAAAACCGCCGGCTGGGAAATTGTCGGAGGGACAATGTACAGTTGCGTTGTCTGGGTCGTGAACCTGCAGATTGCTTTATCCATAAGCTATTTCACGTGGATTCAACACATAGTGATATGGGGATCGATAGGGATCTGGTACGTATTTCTACTGATATACGGAGCAATCGCGCCGAGTTTCTCGACAGATGCGTACAAAGTGTTCGTGGAAGCTCTGGCTCCTTCTCCATCGTACTGGTTCATCACCCTGTTCGTCATGATCTCCACTTTGATCCCTTACTTCGTGTACAAGTCGATTCAGATGAGGTTTTTCCCGGGTTATTACCAGATGATTCAGTGGATTCGGTACGAGGGTCAGTCCAATGATCCTGAGTTTGTGGAGATGGTGAGACAGAGATCCATTCGTCCCACCACTGTCGGGTTCACGGCGAGAAGAGCCGCCAGTTCGAGGAAATCCGGTCGGTTTCACGAACAGATTCATCACGGTTTGATCCATTTGTGATCGGATTTGTCTCTGTTCTTATGTTCAGCAAAGATGTAGATATTTTACTTTGGGAAAGGTTAGGGTTTCTGGTCGAGATGCCGTGTCGGGGAAGTCATCATATAGAGAACGAGTTCTGAAAAGAATTTGACACAAGTATATGTGTATATACTCCCTCGTGTATAGATTTCGATCTGTCCCTTTTTTTTCATTTTTGGCTTTTGGGGTTTTCACGCATTTTTTGGTTTAATTGTATTTGAACTCGATTAATAAAATGTATTAATTATTTAATTATTCATGAGACGGATCTGATAGGTCCGATATATTTATGCGAAAATTTTCTCCAATTATTTTGATATTTATATCTCATGAAAAATTACTTGAGCAGTTTCCATCAGAACAAAAGTAAAAAGGGGGAATACTAACAAAAAATAATTAAAATAGGGTTTATGAAAAATATAAATGAAGGGGAAAATAAATTGTTTTAAGCAGAAATATGACTAGGCACCGACGGACCGTATGGAAAGACAACCCGCTTTGGACTGTTACTCTTCAGACAGAAACAATTAAAAGAGAGAGAAGGATCATGTGAAGGTTCTGTACTGTAATAATTACTAATTCAGGATTAAGATTAACTGAAATAATCTAATAATCTCAAATCTTATTAAATTATGTAATTGTAATATAATACACTGACATTGTCATAAAAATAAAATGTTATCGTGGTTACATCACACAAACGGATAAACAATTAACGGAAGATTTACGTTCAGATTAAAATTAATTACACAAATTCGCATTCTTACAAAAAAAAATTACTAAACTAAAAAAAATCAGGAAATGGATAAGCCCAGGAAATCGGCGGCGGACCGTGCCATGATATGAGCGAACTCTTGGAAGCTAATAACGCCGTCACCGTTAGTGTCAGCCTCCTTCATCATCTCCGTCAACTCACGGTACGTCAACGGGTGACCCATCTTCGCCATCGAGCCGGCGAGCTCCGCCGCCGTTATGTAGCCGTTACCGTCGCGATCGAATGATCGGAAAACCTCCATGAGCTGCTCCTGGTTGATGAGGACTTCCTCGTTCAGATCCGGCAAGATCGCGACGATGAGCTCTTCGAACTCGACGGATCCGTTGCCGTTCCGGTCGATCTGGTGCAGCAGGAGGGAGAGCTGGTCGCCGCGTGGCTTGATCCCGAGGGATCGGAGGAGGGCGGCGAGCTCGAGCTGCGTGAGGCTTCCGTCGCCGTCCATGTCGAAGCGAGTGAAGATTTCTTTGAGCTGCTTCAGTTGATCGGCGGATTTGGACGACGCCATTGACGGAGGGCGAAGGAGTTTGGTTGGGAGAAGATAATTTGGGGATTTTGATATTTGATTTTGATGGGGGAGGAATAGTTCGTCGGAGAAGCGCGTTAATGGAGGCGAAGTTGAATTAAAATAATAAATAATAAAATTTATGATAATTGAACAGTATTCCCGCGTTGTTATGGAATTTCCGATTTTTTTTTTAATAAAAAAATCAGTGTACAATTAGTTCTAATAGAATGTGAGAATATATCAATGTGTGTGTGTATATATACATATTAATTTAATAATTTATATTCACCGCTAGCGTTTTCTTTTTATTGTTTTTCTTAATTCCAATTTAATGCCTGTTATATTATTTAACCGAAGATAATAAAATATTACGCGTATCACAATTTACACTCTTGCCATTCTCTTCCATTAATTTATGATTGGTACATTTAATAGCACATGGAAACCGTCCAATTACCTGGAAAAAAATTTAACATTCTGTATCCATTTTATTTACAAAATTAACTTCTTATAGGGGAATTAATTAATTCGTAGATAAAAACGCGAATGAATAGTCAAAAGAGTTGAATACTTGTTCAATCATTTCATGCTTGACAAATCTCACATCAATCTTATTCACACAACTTGATGAACCTTCAACCCTCTCTCTGCCCCAGAAGCTTCCAAATAAAAACTCACCTCTCTCCGAGAACTCCTCCAAGACCTGCTCAACTTCTTCCATGCACCCAAACCCCTCAACCTCTATGCTTAAAGACCCTTCGATTGATTCCATAGCCCCTACACTTTGTCCACATTCGCAATCTAGCCCCATTCTTTTTCTTTCGCGCTGTATCATCCATTTCGCATAGCGCTTTCTCGTGTTCCTGACCACCTTCTTGGGAAGTCCATGGAAGATAAAGACTATGATCTTGAGCGCGAGGCAATTGCAGCAACATGACAAGACGACACAATCAGCTGCAAATCCATTTATCTCTTCCATTGATCCCGAATGATGATGAAGAAGAAGAAGACACAAATTGAAGAAACTTGAACAAAGGGATCATGGTTTTGAGAGTAGAGCTTTGAAGGGAAACAAAAAGTTCTTTGCTTCTTCTATGAAGGCATTGTGAAGGTAAAAGCTAGAGAATAAAGGAAGCAAACATTATATCTCAACCTTATAATTATTGTGATCGATCATTAGGGTTACAGGTACGTACATACATACATATATACACAGATGTATACATACATTAATTGGCAAAGGGAAAGGAATCGTAGCTATCACAGTCAGAATGTTTCCTTGAACGACACTCCACATTAATTAAGGCATCCAAGAGATTCTTTCGGTTGAGTGTCGACGAAGAAATTAGATTTAGAATGAAGTTTTGTAATTACACCCATCGATTTTAAGTAGATATTGCTTCGCTTCTGGAAACTCGTTGCCAAGTTTGTGTCCAATGCGTATGCGTAAACTATATATTATATAGATAATTGTTTTTTATATACGTTAGTCATGTCAATATCGCGGATGATGCGTTGGCAAAAACCATGTCTATGCCATTACCATATATTTGTATTGTCTCCGTCCCCCTCTCTTCCTTTTTTTTTTTTAATGATTGCATTTATTTATCATATTATACAATCCAGATAAGGTTTTGATGGTTGTGATGAGTATACTAATAGTTAGCTTAAACTTCCCTTCTATTCACAATTATTCAGTCCGGAAATTATTTTAAACATTTCGCAGAGTATTTTTTTTTTTATAAAAAAAAAACACAGTTATAAAAAAAAGGGATAGGGGTTAATGACAACCCCCTCTACCATGAGGTTGTGGGATCGAATCCCAGGTATGGTACTCCCCTTGAGCCGGTCAGCTTTATGAATCTGGTTTATCTGTTCTGCGTGGTTTGCCGGCTATTGCATAGGGCGGTGAATTTTTTCAGGTCTGCGATGTTGTTCTGATGCCGTTCTCATCTAGCCTATGGACTGAGAGGCATTGCGGTGTCCGGTGTCCGATCCGAAGAGTTGTAGGATAGGGTTTCCCATCGTTAAAAAAAAAAGGAAGGAGAGTTTTAGTCGTCGACTAACAAGCCGTGTAATTTTTACCAAAAAAAAAAAGAGTCGTGTAATATTTTTAACGGGCTTGGTTTCGGCCCATAAAGAATGATCATAATTGGGCCATAAGAAAGGGCAGCAAATTGCCCATCTCTCTCTCTCTCTCTCTCTCTCTCTCTCTCTCTATGTAAAAAGCTTGGACCACTCCGCAGTGACATGTGGTCTCAAAACGATTCAGCTTTTTTACTTTTATATCTTTTGTCTCAAATAGAACTCATATTCTGTTAGGGGGGAGACAGCCATTTGAACAAGAGGATAATGCGTCGTGTTAACCAACAAATTCCCTTTTGTTTCAAATCCGGTTAAGAGGTGAGTCTTGTCGGTACGCTCATAACCAGACCCCAACCCAAACCGCTTTGTGCCCTTCTTCCTCCTCAAGCAAAAGGCTCACACAGTCCCACAAATCCCGAAATGCTGCAACCCATGAATTTATCCTTTAAAACATTCAACAAACAGAATGATCATAAAACATTTACCCCAACAAAAAGAGGAAAAAAAATACATATGAGCTTTGGCTAAGATTGACATTGGATTACTACGAAGACAGCTTCTTCCTTCTTTATTGTCTGAAAATCTCCTCTTTTCTTCAAGTTTCGTAATCACCATCGCGTTGATGTTCTTCCTCTGTATCTCTGTTTTTCACTGTCTGATGATGATGTCCGAAGATCCATCTCCATCCCTTTCCCTTGAAGCTTCTCCTGTTCTTCCTCACCTCTCGCTCCCTCGCCGTTATCCGACAAGACCCTCCTCCTCCGTGGTCCAGAACGCCGTCGTTTCTACCTATAACTCCGTCTCTGTACGACCGAACAGAGCAGGAATCTTGCTTGTCCTTGTCCGAAGACGATGAGAAATCGAATTTCAGATCGATGAATCCCGGTTCTTCCCCTCCAGTGAAGTAACTCTCCTTCAGAGAAAACACCCTTCTCGTGAAATTCGCTGTCTCGCTCTTTCTTAGCTCCGATTCGCTGAAATTGCTCCTTCTCGGGTCGAGATTCGTTCTTCGTTGCTCTGTTTCGCTGTAATTGCTTCTCCGGTGCTCTGTTTCACTGAAATTGCTCTTCCTCGCCTCGAAGCAGCTCCTCCGCGGTGGCTCCGGCTCGCTGAAATTGCTCTTCC